CTTTGATGTCTTTTGTAACCCATTGTTCATTCAGTAGCATATTGTTTAGTCTCCAGGAGTTGGAGTAATTTTAATTTTTTTTGTCGTTATTTCCAATTTCATTCCATTATGATCTGATAAAATACATGGTGGTATCTCTACTTTTTTTGTATTTGCTAAGAGTTGCTTTGTGGAATAGTGTATGGTCTATTTTAGAGAAGGATCCATGTGCTGCTGAGAAGAAAGTGTATCTGCTTGATGCAGGTTGAAATATTCTATATATGTCAGTTAAGTCTAAGTTATTGATTGTATCATTGAGTTTTATAGTTTCTTTATTCAACTTTTGTTTCAAAGATTTATCCAGTGGTGAGAGAGGTGTGTTAAAGTCACCCAAGATTATTGTGTTGTGATCAATTTGACTCTTGAACTTGAGAAGAATTTGTTTGATGAACATAGTTGAACCATTGTTTGGGGCATATATATTTATGATTGTTATGTCTTATTGGTGTATAGTTCCCTTGAGCAGTATGTAATGTCTGTCTTTATCCCTTTTGATTAACTTTGTCTTGAAGTCTACTTTATTTGATACAAGGATAGAAACCCCTGCTTGCTTCTGCAGTCCATGTGGGTGGTATGATTTTTCCCAATCTTTCACCTTCAGTCTGTGTATGTCTTTTCTTATCAGATGAATCTCCTGGATGCAAAATATTGTTGGGTCTTTTTTTTTTTTTTTAATTCAATCTGCTAACCTATGTCTTTTGATTGGTGAGTTTAAGCCATTAACATTCAGGGTTACTATTGAGACATGGTTTGTATTCCCAGCCATATTTGTTTATTTTTGTTATTTAACTTGACTTGATTTTCTTCTTTGATTAGTTTTTCCTTTAGGGTACTACCTTCCTCTGCTGATTTTCATTGTTGTTTTTTGTTTCCTCTTCATGGAATATTTTTTCCAAGGATGTTTTGTAGTGTCAATTTTCTAGCTATAAATTCTTCTAACTTTTGTTTATCATGGAAGGTTTTTATTTCATCTTCAAATCTAAAGCTTAATTTTGCTGGATACAAGATTTCTTTCAGAACTTGATTTATGTTGTTCCAGGGTCTTCTAGCTTTCAGGGTCTGTGATGAAAAATCTGCCATTATCCTAATTGGTTTTCCCCTATATGTAATCTTATTCCTTTCTCTAGTGGCTTTTAAAATTTTCTCCTTATTCTGTATGTTGGGCATTTTCATTATAATGTGCCTTGGTGTGGATCTGTTGTGATTTTGTACATTTGGCATACAATAGGCTTCTTGAATTTGGATTTCCAATTCATTCTTCATGTTTGGAAAGTTTTCTGATATTATGTCCTTGAATAGATTGTTCATTCCTTTGGTTTGGACCTCTATGCCTTCCTCTATCCCAATAACTCTTAAATTTGGTCTTTTTATGCTCTCCAATATTTCTTGAATGTTCTGTTCATGTGGTCTATGTTCTTTTCCAGATTATATATTTTGTCTTCATTGTCTGATGTCCTGTCTTCCAAGTGGTCTACTCTGTTGGTGATGTTTTCATTTGAGCTTTTAATTTGGTTTATTATTTCTTTCACTTCAAGAATTTCTGTTTTTTTAAAATACATATTTAGTTGTAGTTAGACACAATACCTTTATTTTAGTTATTTATTTTCTTTATGTGGTGCTGAGGATTGAACCCAGTGCCTTGCACATGCTAGGCAAGTGCTCTACCACTGAGCCACAACCCCAACCCTCTGTTTTTTTTGTTTTGTTTTGTTTTTTGTTGTTGTTGTTGTTGTTGTTGTTTTAAGAACCTCTATCTCCCTGTTGAGGTGATCTTTTGCTTCTTGAATTTATTTATGTAGCTCCTTGTTGAAATGATTCTTTCACTGCTTGTATTTGCTCTCTTATATCTTCCTTGAGTTTACAGAACATTTTAACCATGTACATCCTAAACTCCTTCTCTGTCCTTTCTCCTGCTGTGGCTACCAATGATTCTAATGATGTGGTGTCTTCATTTGTTTGAGGGTACTTTCTTCCCTTGTCTTTTCATGTTGCTCATTGTCTTCCTTTCCAGCTCTGTGGGTCTTGATTGTTATTGTGTTTTACCCTATAGGTTTGAAGTGCTCTTGTAGGGTTCCAAGACCTCACTTTTATGGGGAAGGACAATGTTAACAGATCCCAATATCAACAATATACCACCTTTGAACAATTTGTTGTTATTAAGACATTTACAGTTTAGTCTCAATGTACAGAAATGTTGGATTCAATTATTATCTAAAATACAATCAGTAGTTTTGTAAAAAGGTTTACAGTTTCTTACAGTGGACAATAAACTGGGGGTGGGGCGTAGGACGTTATGCTGAGGAGGTAGGATGTGAGGATTTAGAGTTAATATATCTTAGGAAGTGTGAAGGAGAAATCTAGTGAAGAGGGTTAGTAGCAAGAGAATAGACAGGAAGTAATTTAGGGTAGGAAAGTACGTGGGATGACAGTAGAGTACATAAAACAAACACACATGTATTTAGAAATACAGATGTCAAAACAGTAAAATTTGGAGGGGGAAAGAAAAATGAAAGAATAAAAAGGAAAAGAAAAAAAGGGCATATACAACAGCTGTATATTATATTATTCAAATGACTCAGACCTCAAAGACCTAGTTCATGCAAACTTCTTGGTTTCACATATGTTAAGGATGTAAGGGCCAGAGGATGGAGGGATAGAAGAGAAAAAACAAACAAACAAACAAAAAACTCAAAGGAAGAAACCAGGGTTGTAGCTAGCTTTAGAGATCCGTATCTTTCCCTGCTTCTCTCCCCATTCAATAGGTGGGGTCCTCTGTTGTAAGCTGGTGTCTCTGCCATCCAGATGGTGGAGGTAACCAGGGTGGGAAAACTGGTCCTGGCGCAGGGTACCTGGATGTGGGGAGTGGCATCCGCCAGTCCCTGCAGGGAGACTGCACCTCACGGGTCTCTTTTTGGGACCACTCATATGACTTGAGCCCCGGTACTATCTCCTTCTCTTGCCTGGAGATTTCCCAGTTCCTGGTCTGTTAGGCTCCAGACTTTAGCCCTCTCTCCCTCTCCCCTAGCCATTCCCAATTGAGGAAACTCTCACCCCGGGGATCCCATGGGCAGCTCCCTGGTTGCACCGCACACCTGTGTTGGGCAGCTACTGTGTTAGGTTACCGCCGCTAGAGACCGGGAATGTTGGAAACCTGGTACCTGGCCCCTGGAGATCCGATCTGGAAACTGCCCCCAGCTAATATGGCTGGAATGTTGAGCCAAGGTGGCGGAGGTCTGTTTTCAGTGCCTGGGTGTTGGGAGTCCGGCGATGGTGTTGTGCTGTGGTAGGCAGCAGCTGAGTGACCTGTGTGGGAGCCGAGCGAAGTCTTGGCGATCTGCAGATGTGTTGATAGGTGATTCTGCTAAGGTGCTCGAGGAGCCTTGTGTGGGCTAGAACTTCCAACTTTGGGTCCTGCTCCAACCAGGCGTCCTACTGGAACTCTGAGGCCCAGAGCCCTGCAGGGTCACAGCGCTGGTGATTTCTGCGGAGAGCAGCTGGATAGGGGTCCTCTAACACTCTCAGAGACGGAGTATTCCGACTAGGTGAGATCTGCAGGTGCAGAGGCGAGGGGCACAGGGCGGCTCACTCCCTTCCCTCCGCCATGTTCCTACCGACCCTGTCCCTTGACCAGTTCTTGCAAGGTTTTTATCAGGGGCTCAGCCTGGAATCTGCCCATCTCTTGAGTCCTGAGATGGGACTTCCTGTCTATTCTCATCCTCCTGCCAGGAGCCCAGTGAGTCTGCTGGAACTGGTACACAGGGCAGCTTTGATGCAGAGCTGGCTGACCTGCCTCAGGGGTGGGACAGTCAGGGAGGAAACGGCAGAGAGGCAAGGGAGCAGGGCTACAGGACCTGGGCTGCAGGCCCAAAGTTCAGGGACTCCTCACCTCTCTCCGCTTCTATAAAATACAGTCAAACCAGGTTATATTGCTATTCATGAACTCGGACTGGGAACAAAGGAGATGTTTTTATTTTCACTAACCTTGAACTGAAATGGAGCATCTTCTGCAATTACATATGCAGTCACACTAACAATACTTGTATTTTATTTTTTCAAGATAAAAGCCAGATTTTTTTTTCTATCATATACAGTTGCTGCTACCTCAGGATGTCATTTATCTCCTCATTACTTCAGTGATCAGTAGTTCCTGGTGGATTACCTGTCATGTTTGATCTAAGAGAACATACATTCTTAAATCACAATTGTTTTAATTTTGATGTCTCGTTATAATTGTTTTCATCTGTAATTTCTTTTTTTTTATTTCAAAGTTATCACAAGTGGTACACTTATTTTAAAATTTTTTATTTATGTATTTAAAAGCCTTATTCTGAGAGGGAGGCTATCCATTACCTTCACAGGACTGTTAAAAGAGTCTATAGTTTAAAAAAGTAAAAAATAAAAAGCAACAGGGCAAGATCAGAGTAGATCTCTCAGATGGCCGTTGCTCTGAAATGGTAGGTTCATTTTGGCACCCCCAGCAGAGGGTTATGCCACCCTATAACACCTTAGCACCAGTCATTCATAGTCATTCACTAAACAGAGTAGCTTAATAAGCACCTGCTACCCCTCAGGCCTGGTTGCAGTGAAAGCAGTTGCTCCTACTGTGAACTGAGCACCTACCTGTACAGTAACGGTGTGGGGAGATCCCCATATTGGCGAGACCCTGACCGGATGAATGAGGCGGAAGCCCTACCCTTAGGGGGTTGCTGGGGGCACCCTCACCCCTCCCCTGTTAGAGGAGACAGAGCCCCAATTGAGCTTGGTTAATTGCATCAAGAAGGATCAAAGGCTGCACTAGAGAGGTCAAAGATCCAAGTCCAGTGCTGTGGCTGCTAGTTTGGTCCTGAGGAAGGACATTCAAACCGGGACTCAGACCACTGAGGCCCAGTGGCAATGCTTCCAGTGAGACAAGCCCTGCTCCCTTCTGGAGGCCAGCACAGACACCTCCCTCTCTCCCTCAGACACCATCGAGCTCCACATCCGGTCCCAAGGCCAGTGGACAAACAGACTGTATGAGTCTTTCAAGGTGTCAGACCCCGTGGGCTGTGATTCCAAGAGGCTGTCAAGGAGCTTGAGGATGAGAAGGAGTCAGAGGAAACCCCAGGTAGGTGGCTGCAAGGGCCCTCTATGGAGGCAGACCCTGGGGACCAAGTCACTTTCTTCCTGGTCAGCGGGAGCAGCTGTTGTGCACACAGTCTGGACGGCAGCATTAGTGGGCTAGGCAATGGCTGACTGTGTGGTCCAAGAGCCTCTTCGAAGCCTGACCACCTCAGATCCTTCCATCCTGATTTCCTGCATTAGAAAAGGTGGGGAGCAGTGGAAGGAGTGGGGTAACTGAGACCAGAAACATTCTGACCTCCAAGTCTCTTGGACAGTACTCTCTAACTGCATGGTCTTTGTCTTGTCTGTCAACCTAACTGAGCCTGTTATTTTTCTTTGAAATGGAGATAGTTTTCCTCCATGGCTCACCCTTCTCATCTTATCCCATTAAGCACTGACCCAAAGAATGCAGATGGAGTATTGAGGGAAATGGCAGCATGGTCCAGGTGGGCCCCTGGGTCATCATTACCATCAGCAGTAACAGCACTGTTACCTCTGGAGCCTTGATGAAGCCCATAAAGCTGCCAGGTGGCTAGTGCCAGGGAGGGTTTGGAGAAACAGAGCCTGTGCACAGTGGCCCACATGCCTGTCATCCCAGGGACTTGGGAGCCTGAGGCGGGAGGATGGCAAGTTCAAGGCCAGCCTGGGCAACATAGTCAGACCCTGTCTCAAAATAAAAAATGAAATGACCTGGGGGATGTTGCTCAACAATTGAGTCTCCTGGATTCAATCCCTAGTACTGGGGGTGGGGGGAGAGAGGAATGGGGACGGATCAGAGCAGCTCCCCAAGAAATAAGGTTAGACCAGGAAGCTGAGGGTAGCTGAACACGAGACTCCGCCTCTTGGTCTGGAGACTAGTTAATATGTGAGAACCCTGCTGAAGGTCAAAGGAGGAGGACTCACTGACCCCCGCAGGTCCCAGCGCTGCCTTCAACATGGGTGCTGGGGGAGTGGGGGCACCAGGTAGAATCCTATCTGGCCAGAGGAGAGGATCATTCCAGAATGGTGCCAAAAGCAAAACTGTGGGATGTGGAGGAAAATGTAGGAAAAAGAAAAGTTTTCTTCCAGTAATCAGAGGAAACTTCCTGAAGGAAGAAGCTGACTTGCAAACCGGATGAGCCATGGCACACTGGGAACCAGCAGGAAGACACACTGCGGGTTGTTTCCGTGGGACCTCAGACCCTGCTGCCACAGAATAAATTGGCACAGTCTTTCTGGCAGGCAGTCTGGCCATATGTGTCAGCATTTTAAATATGCACACCCACTGGCCCAGCAATTCCATTTTTAGAGATTTATGCTAAAAAGCTAATTGGACAGGTGCACAAAAAGCCCTATTCATTTCTTTAGCAAATATTTACTGAGCGCAGCACCTACTGTTCTCCAGGTTCTGTTCTAGATGCTAGAGATATGTCGGTAGGCAAAAGAGACAGCACTGCTGAACTTCTGGTGCAGAGGCATTCGTTGAACAGATGAAATGCACATGTAACACGTCAGGCGACAACAAATGCTATGCAGAGAAGTAAACTAGGGTCTAGGGATAATGACAGGAAATGTGCTATTCCACATCGCATGGTCGCTCATGATAATGAGAAAATGAAGACAGTCAGAAGGCCCAGCAACAGAAGGCAGCCAGAGAAATTACTGATCACCCTCATAATGGAATAGTAAGTTGTCTAAGAAAGATTATGGAAATTTCAACTTGTTAGTATGGAAAGCTAGAAGTGGGAAAAACAGATTGCAAAGCAGGATGCTCCATTGGTATAAAATAAGTGTGTGTGTGCGTGTGTGTGCAGGTGTGTGTCTGTGTGTGTGTGGATATGTGTGCCCATACACATGTGTATGTTAGAAAAAAGTGTCCAGGGGCTAGGGTTGTGGCTCAGCGATAGAGCACTTGCCTAGCACATGCAAGGTCCTGGGTTCGATCCTCAGCACCACATAAAAATAATAAATAAAATAAAGGTATTGTGTCCAACTACAACTAAAAAATATTTTTTTTTAAGAAAAGAGTGTCTAAAGAGCAGAGAAAATGTTTATGGTAGCTGTCATCCTGTACTTTTTCATTTTATTGTTTAATTATTTCTATAATATGTGATGTTTTTACAACTAACAGGAATTGACTCTGAATATTAAAGCAATTTCTGTTTTGAAACAAAACAGGATTTGCAACCACAGCCCAGCCACTCCTGTACCTCAGCACAGGATGCTGAGTCCTCCAGCAAGAATGTTGCTATGGAACTGATGTCCTACAGGACCGAGGAACCACAGTGCCAGGGGGACAAAGACCAGGACCCCATAAAGGCTGAGGAAGGGACCCCAGCATGGTGGGGAGCCTCTTCTCAGGGCGGGGACCTGGTAAGGCCGGGGAAGTGGAGGATGACATGTCTGCCCAGGGGTGCTGGGTCTTGGCCTGGCATCCTTGGCTTCAGGGCAAGCCCACTCTCAGGCAGGACCCACATGGAGTGGGGTTTCTGCAGCCAACCATCTGCCTCCACCCTTGTAACTGTTGCCATATTCACAGCTCATTAGCAATATTTTCTACTTAATATTCTCTTACATCACCACAGTACTCTAAACTGTATTTAAAAAGACTCCTTAGATTGCTATCTTTAATGGAAAATCAGTATTGTGTGCCAGAAACATGCTAACTCTAAAGTAAAAACAATGAAAACATGGTATTAAATTCCTCTAGATGTTTCTGCCTGTTGAGGCTCCGCCCACAGGCCTACTCCCTGCAGGTACACACTCCCTTTCTCACTTTCACTCTCCCTCTCCCCTTCTCACTTTGTTAAAAGAAAACAGAGAGGGGTCGGGGAGAGGTCTATCAGCACTCTCTAAGAAGTTAGTCTTAAGGAGCTGTTAAAGATGTGTTAGCCAGAATTGAAGTCTTTCTCTTTGCTATCAGAAGGATTAGAGAAAATTGAAAGGGGAGCAGCCCTCTCCCAGGTACCTCCTAAACCCCCACAAGCAGTTTATGTTCAACACTAAGCAGTCCCCACCCCAAGATGAAGAAGCAGCATGGTGTAATGTGACATAGGATGGGTCACAGGAGACCCAGTCTCTATGTGGAACTCTGGGGAACTGGGCAGTCCTTTCCACACCCTCAGCCTCAACTCCTCTGAGGGAGGTATCACAGGCTCCTGCAGCCTGTTCTGCATTCTGCTTCCTCCCCTTCTAGAAGCAAGGGTGTTGACCTGCATGTGTGTCTGGCCGTCTACCTGTGCTCAGGTCTGGAGTAGTCAGGCACTGCAGGCAGAGCCGGACCCCGCCCCCCCCCCCAGAGGGCCGGCACCAGCCCCAGGGCAGAGCCCCAGGCCCTCGGTACCTTTCTTTCTTGAAGCACCTGGGCAAAGCCTCAAAGAGGAAATGTGACTTCAAATGAGCTGGACATGGACCAAGGCACAGGGATTTGACAGCCGGGGAAGAGCAAAGGGGCTCTAGGCAGAGGGAAAAGAACATTCCATCCCAGACATGAGAACATGCAGCTAAAGGTGTGATTGAGTCTTCCCCAGCCTTGCTCTGGAGCTGACTCACACTGAATCCTACAAGTTGATTGTTAAATTTCCCATTTCGTGAGCTAGTTATTAAACACGGTCATATGTTGGGAGCTATGATGGCAGTGCAGTTGTCCCTCAGTGTCCAAGGGGGATTGGTTCCAGGACCCTCCTGGGTACTAAAATCTGCTGAAGCCCATAAATAAAATCATGTGGACTTTGCAACCTATGTATATCTTCCCATACACTTTAAATGGACATTTACATATGTTAATAGTTGTTATACTATATTGTTTAGGGAATAATAACAAGAAAAAATTCTATACATGCTTACTACAGGCACAATTTCCCCCTAAATATTATCAATCTACACTGGGCTGAATCTGTGTCTGTAGAACCTGTGGATACGGAGGGCCAGTGGTATTTAGGCCACAGAAATGGACATATGCTAATCTCTTGGTGATTGAGACCCCCCTGCCCCCCACCAGGAGCCAGTTTACCAGCACACTGCTGATATTCCTCCTTAAAAAGGATCCAGGATCCTGAAATGGTTTGGACAGTAAAAGCAATTCCCTTTCAATACAGTTGCTCAGACTGGCAAGGGCTTGCAAGCTTCTAAGAAATGCCCAGCGCTGTCCTTCCCAGACTCAGCTTTCTGCTCTATTCCCTGCAGGCTTCTGAGATGTCCTCTGAGAACCATCGATTCTGCAACATCAAGGTAAGAGGCTCCAGGAAATGGCTGTGGTGGAGACCTCCTTCCCCCTCTGAGGAAATGCCTCTTTGCCTTTGTGAGGAGGTTACTTTGGCTCTTGATCCTTCTATTCCTCTATTCCCCGGGGCTGACTTCCAGGTATCCAGACTATTTAACCAAACCCTCCTCCTGTCCTTAAACCCATGGGTGCCCTGCCTTGCCTGTTTCTTCTCCAGGATCAGGGATGGTGTGTGGGGGGGAGGGCTCTGTGCTCTCTCTCCCTGCCTCCCTGGCACCCACAACACACACCCTGGAAGTGATGGAGGCTCAGCAGGGATGCTGGTTGGTCACCAGCTCTGCATCCTAACATTCTAGGGCTTTCTCCAGAAGTGTGCTGAGAGCTCAGCCTGTGGAAAGAGGGCTGGAGTAGGAGCCGCTTAGACCTGGCCTCGAGCCTAGGAGATGATTGACTGCCTGTGTATAAAAGGGTGCTGAGGCCCTGGGGACCTTCCTCCACTCGGGGGAGTGCAGCTCTCCCCACAGTCCTCATTCCTCTCACCCCCTGTGACAGTGCTACATCGATGGCCCTTATGGAACCTCCACCCGCAGGATCTTTGCCTCGGAGCACGCCGTGCTCATTGGGGCAGGTATCGGCATCACCCCCTTTGCCTCCATCCTGCAGAGCATCATGCACAGGTGAGTGCACAGAGCATGGCCCCACCCACATCCTGGGCCTGTCCTGACAGCGGCCCCCCTCGATGCTCCCACTTTCTAACCCCTCCTTTCACCTCTCCCCCTCCCCTCTTCTCTTCCCTCTCCTCCTTGTCCTCCGCCTTATTTTGTGTCTCATCTCCTCTTCCTCATAGGGTGGGCTCTGCCACCCCATCCTTACTTCCTACCTTCTACACTATTCTCTGGGGTCCTGAAAAGTCTCAATTACCCCCCAAATTAAAAAAAACCCTCCTCCTGCTTCCCCTCAGGCACCAAAAGAGAAAGCACGTTTGCCCCAGCTGCCAGCACTCCTGGATGGAGGGCCTCCAGGACCACGACATGAAGCTGCACAAGGTGGGTGCCGCCTCCCGCAGGCAGACATCCGGACCTTCTCCCCAACACCTCCCGGAGCAGGAGCCAGTGCTCCCGTGCAGAGGCAGGAAGGGATACCCTACCTCTCCTCTGCTGGGACCCCCTTGTTCCTTCCAAGTTGTTCTTTCTCTTTCTTTTCCTCCAAAATGCCAGCTCTCCTGGTCCCTCCTAAATGTCCAGGCCTCTGCTATCAACATTCCCGTCACTTCTGAGAGCCCGCTGGGCCCTGAAAAGAAGCACCTTCAGGGACCCAGCTCCAAGCCTCATGCTTACCATCCATGACCCAATGGTGGTTTCAGAGATGAAAACATGTTTGCCTTTTGGAAAGTCATTATTGTGCACAGGGAACTAAACAGTAATTTTGCATAGCTGTCTTTCCCAAGCTGATATCTCAGAACACTGCTTACAAAGACAAATTCTAGCTTTGGAGTCAGGAACCTGGGTCCTGGTCATGCTGTTCTGGAAACTGGGCGAGTCTTTTTACTTCTGTGTGTCTGTCTTCCCCTCTGACCATGTGTAGACACTGGGGGTCCTCAGGGCCCAGGGACCACAAATGTGAGCACGCTGTGAATGAGGGAGACCCTCCTCTGAGCTGAAGCCCCTCTCTCTAGGTGGATTTCATCTGGATCAACCGAGACCAGAGGTCTTTTGAGTGGTTTGTGAGCCTGCTGACCAAACTGGAGATGGACCAGGCCCAGGAGGCACAAGACGGTAGGAGAGGGACAGGTCCTGCAGCCTGTGGGGAGGGACTGGGGAGTCAAGGTCTCTTTTTAAAAAATGATTTATTGAGGTGAAGTTCACATACCATAAAATGAACCGTTTTAATATGAACTCAGTGTCTTTTAAAAAAGTGTTTGTTCCATTTCTATGAAAGATGGGGAAGGTCCACTATAATTTAATATTTTGTAAAGTTTTTTTTTAAAGCAAAAAAAAAAAAAAGGAAAATGAGCCAGTCACAGTGGTGCACACCTGTAATCCCAATGGCTCAGGAGGCTGAAGCAGGAGAATCACAAGTTCAAAGCCAGCCTCAGCGACTTAGCTAAGCCCTAAACAACTCAGTGAGACCCTGTCTCTAAATAAAATACAAAAAAGGGCTAGGGATGTGGCCCAGTGGTTAAGCACCCCTGAGTTCAATCCCTGAACCAAAAAAAAAAAAAAAAAAAGGGAGGGGAATCACTCATAATTCCATCCATGGTCCAGATTACTCTAAACATATTAAAGAATTTTTTCCAAGTTTTTCTTTTCTTTTTCACATTTTATAAAAATGTATATTCTTTATTTTCATAACTGCTCTTTTTTATGATATCTTTTAGATCTCCAGGCCCCACCTTGACCTTCTAGTTCAGCTCTCCTGAAGGCAGAGCTCAGGGATACACATTCCATCATGCTTCTAAGCAGAAGCATGGTGGAATTGTTTTTGGATTGTTTTTTGAGGCATCATTTACATACAATAAAATTAGAAAAATCTTTTGTACAATAAATACAATGACATTTTAACATATGCATACAGTGTGTTACCACCACTACAACCAAATTATGGAACATTTTCATTACCCAAAAGGTTTCCCCATCTCCATACCATGTTGGCAGTCAACATCTTCCCCTGACCGTTAGCCCTGGCAATAACCGATTTGCTTTCTATCACGACAATCTGGCCTTTTTTAGATTTCATATGCATGGAATCATATGAATGTCCACTTCTTCTACTTATCATAGCACCTTGGGAATTGTCCTCATTGTTGCAGGTATCCATAAACAGTTGAATTCATTTTTATTGCTGAGTAGTATTCCATTTTACAAATATGCTACAATTTGTCTTTCCTTTCACTAGTTGATGGACAGTAGAGTTATTTCCATTTTTTGATTATTTTGACACAAGTTTTTGTATGGACGTTTATTCATATGTCTGTCAGATAAATATTTAGGAGCGGGTTTGTTGAGTATTGTGGTAAGTATTAAGTTCAATAGTGTAAATATCGCTGAACTACTTTTCCAAAGCAATTATTCCATTCTACATTTTCGTCAGAAGTGAACGAGAGTTCCTGGTGCTCCATACCTTCATCAGCCTTTTTTGTTTCAGCCATTCTAGTGGATGTGAGTGATCTCCTAATGTGCTCTGAACTGCATTTTCCTAGTGACTAGTGATGCTGAATATCTTCTTGTGGGCTTGTTATTACATGTTCTTTGTGTTGTTTTTTATTGGTGTGTAATAATTGCACATAAAAGAGGGATTCTTTGTGACATATTTGTACACATACAGAAGTTTTGGCTTATTTCATTTCCCAGTACTCTCCTTTTTCTTTCCCTTCTTCCTCCCCTCAATTCCCTTCTATTTGACTGGTCTCCTTTCTATTTTTGTGAAATCCCTTTTTTTTTTAATCCCTCTTTTTTCTCTAGCTGTTACATGTTCTTTGCGAGGTGTCTGTTCAAGTATTTTGCCCAGTTTTAAATCCAGATGTTTGTCTTCTTTTTACTTAGTTGTCAGCACTCTTTATATATTCTGGAAACAAATCCATTATTAGCTGGATATTTTACAAAACATTGTCTTTTCATTGTCTTAAACTGTCTTTTGAAGAACAAAGGTTTTACTTTTTTTTAATATCTTTATTTTATTTATTTATTTTTAATGTGGTGCTGAGGATCGAACCCAGGGCCTCACACATGCTAGGCGAGCTCTCTACCTCTGAACCACAACCCCAGCCCCTTGTTTTACTTTTTAATGATGTCCAATTTATCAGTCTTTTCTTTTATTTCTCTTCTTTTTGTGTTATATTTAAAATCTTTATGTCACTCAAAGTCATGAGAATTTTCTCCAGTGTTTTCTGCTATATATTTTGTAGTTCAGCTCTTCATTTAAATTAGAATTTCTTAGTTTTGTCACTATTGACATTTTGGGCCAAATCATTTCTTATTATATGCATAATTCCTATACATCTTAGGATTTTAGCTACTTTTCAACCTCTGTTCACTAGAAAATAGTAGTACCCTATCCCTGTCATGAAAATATAAAATACCTCCAGATATTGTCAAATGTCTGTGGGAACAAAATTGCCTTCTTTTTAGAAGCACTTATTTAAATAACTATCCATTCAAAATCAATTTTGTATAGATGAGAGTTAAAGGTAGAAGTTAATTTTTACATATGAATACCCAGTTAATTTTTTTCCAAGGATTTCTAGTCTCACTCCAAGAACCAGAGACAGAGGCCAAAGTCTTCATTGCACAACAGAGGTGGATACATATTAAGGATCTTTATGACTTCTTGATGAATCGACCACCTTCTCATTATATAATATCCTTCATCTCTGATAATATACCTTGTTCTGAAGTCTGTTTTTTTTCTGAAATCAATGGAGCCATTCTAGTTTTTTTTTTAAAAAAATTAGTTATGCTATAATATTTCTTTTTCCATTCTTTTTACCAGTCTCATTGTTACATTAAAAGTGAGTTCCTTCTATACAACCTATAACTCTTTCTTTTTAAAAATGCAATTTGATAATATTTGCCTTTTAATTGGAGTTTCTATCCCATTTATATTTTACATAATTATTGATATAATTGTGTTCAAATCTACTATCCTGGTTTTGTTTTCTGTTTGTCCCTCTCTTTTTTTTCCTTTCCCCCTCTTTTTCTGTGTAGTTTAGGATTAATTGTATGTTTTTATAATATCATTTATCTCTGTTATTTAATTACTAACCATATTGCTTGATTTTATTATTCCTGTGGTTGCTATTGGGCTTAAAATATACATCTTTAACATTACAGTCTATCTTTAAATACTATTACACTACTTATTGCACAGCATTATCCTTACCATAATTTCTCCTTTATTGTCATTTTACTACTACATGTTATAAGTCCTACAGTACCTTGTTATTTATTTTGCTTTAAATAGTCAATTATCTTTCAAAAAGAAATTTAAGGGGCTGGGGTTGTGGCTCAGTGGTAGAGCACTCACCTAGCATGTGCAAGGTGCTGGGTTCGATCCTCAGCACCACATAAAAATAAATAAATAAAATAAAGGTATTATCTAAGGTCATCTTTAAAAAATTTTTTTTAAATTAAAATAAACCTCTTTTACATTTATACACATACTTACCATTTCTGGTTCATTTCATTTTTGTGCGTATTTCCAGATTTCCATCTGGGATAATTTTCCTTCTGCTTGAAAAACTCCCTATATCATTTCCTGTATTGCGTATCTAAAATAATGCAGATGATAATTCCTTTAGCTTTTGATTTTCCACCAGAAGTCTTTTTCCCACCTTAGCTTTTTTTTAGTTGTTGTTTGTTTGGGTACTGGAGGATTGCACCCAGGGGTGCTTTACCACTGAGCCACATTCCTAGCCCTTTTTATGTTTTATTTTGTGATAGAGTCTCACTATGCTGCTGAGGGTCTTGCTAAATTTCTGAGGGTGGCTTCGAACTCTGGATATTCTTGCCTCAGCCTCCCAAGCTGCTGGGATAACAGGTATACACCACTATACTCGACCTCACCTTGATTTTTTAACAATATTGTTATCAGTTAATTTTTTTCCTTTGCTTCTTTAAAGATTCCCTCCATTGTCTTCTGGCTTGCATAGTTTCTGACAAGATAACTCTTGTACTTATCTTTATTCCTCTTTAGTAATTTTTCCTCTTTTTACCACTTAAGATTTCCCCCCCTTATTATGATGACTCTTTGTGTGTTTTTGTTTATATTTCTTGTTCTCAGAGGTCATTGAACTTGTAGAGCCTAGAGTTTTTATCAAATTTGGAAGTTTGTCAGCCATTTTTTCTTTACATTTTTTTTCTTTTTTCCATTCTTGTCATTTTGATTACTCATATGTTAGACCATTTGATATTATCCTACAGGTCACTGAGAGAGTGTATTTCTTTCCCTGACCCCCACCCCACTTTCTTTTCATTTTGGATAGTTTTTATTGCTATGTCTTTATTTGCTAAGCCTCTAAGTTCATAGGTCTTTTCTTCTTTAGAGACTTTTCTGTTATTTCCATCCTAATCAAAATTTGAGCAGGTTTTAAAAAATTAGATGTTGACAAGCTGCTTCTAAAATTTATGTGGTAAATCAGAGGATTTAGAATAGCTGTTAATTCTATTCAATGTATTTTTCATTTCTGTTCTTGTATTTTTCTTCAGTAGAAGTTCCATTTTATGTCTCCCATTTCTCTCCTTGTCGTATTTGTTTTGTTTATTTTGCTTTGATGTTATTAAGCACATTTATAATATGGTTTCAACATCTTTGTGTACTAATTCCATCATCTCTGTTATCTCTGGATGTTTCTAATTATTAATTTTCTCCCAGATAAATCTTTTTTTTCCTTCTTCTTCTTTGTATGTATGATTATTTTTTTTGTTGGATACCAAGCAATTTGAATTTTAAATTGTTTTGGTTTTTAGATTTTGTGACATTTTATTTTAATAGTACTGTACTTTGTTCTGGTGCACAGCTGAGTAATGTAGGACTCTGTGGATCCTTTTAAGACTCTCTTTTAGCTTTTGCTAGAGGGTGTCCAGAGCACAATTTCACATATTTAGCCCTAGAACTAAGATGACACACTTCTGAGGAGTCTGCCTAGTGTCCTGTATATCCCACCATCTCTCCACTCTTTCTTGGTAGGAATACAAATTCCCAGCTCTGCTGGAACGCTAGGTATTATTCTTCTTAGTGTTTTCTGGTAATTTTCTTTCACATGTGTACAGACTATCAC